GTTTCATATCTATAATAGTTGTATCATAGCTTTTTTCAATAATCTGAAGCTCAGATTTGATTTTCCACATCTATCAGAGTTTGTTTGTTTCAGTGTTGTCACTCTAAGTATCACTTTACAATCTTAGAGAAAAATACTGGACAGCTTACTATCTGAAGTTTAACTATTTCATAACACAACTGTGTGTCTTATTGAAGGATTTTGTAGTATTATAAGATCACTGTCTCAAAACCTTCCAGGTTTTCTGATTTCAACCTCTCATTCACTAAACTATAGAGCATTGAGTATTCTCTTGCCAATGGATGTGTCGCTGGAGACCAAAGCCAAAATAAACCATACTATACTTTATCATTCATATTTCCAGTTGCTGTGTACAGATCTGAAAGCTGGACTGTGAATAAAGCTGACAGAGAAAAAGATCAATTTTTTTAGAAGTATAGTGCCGAACAAGAGCTTTTTGGATACCATGGAAGACAAATAATAGGGTTCTAAAGCAAATTGAAGTGAAATCAGGGCCTTTTTCGGCGAGTCTTCTCTTCTCATGAGATGGCCAAAGTATTGGAGCCTCAGCTTCAGGATCTGTCCTTCCAGTGAGCACTCAAGGTTGATTTCCTTCAAAATGGATAGGTTTGTTCTCTTTGCAGTCCAGGGGACTCTCAAGAGCCTCTTCCAGCACCACAATTCAAAAGCATAATTTTTTCGGCAGTTAGCCTTCTTTACGGTCCAGCTTTCCCTTCCATACATCGCTACTGGAAAAATCATAGCTTTGACTATGTGGACCTTTCTCAGCAAGGTGATGTCTCTGCTTTTTAAGATACTGTCTAAGTTTATCATCACTTTCCTCCCAAGAAGCAGGCATTTTTTAACTTTGTGGCTGCTGTCACCATATGCAGTGATCATGGAGCCCGAGAAAGTAAAATCTGTCACTGCCTCCATCTCTTCCCCTTCTATTTGCCAGAAGGTGATTGGACCACTAGCTGTGATCATAGTTTTTTTTATGTTGAGCTTCAGACCATTTTTGGCACTCTCCTCGTTCACCGTCATTAAGAGGTTCTTTAATTCCTCCTCACTTTCTGCCATCAGAGTGGTATCTGCATATCTGAGGTTGTTGATATTTCTTCTGGCAATCTTAATTCCAGCTTGGAATTCATCAAGTCCTGCCTTTTGCATGATGTATTTTGCATATAATTTAAAGAAGCAGGAAGACAATATACAGCCTTGTCGTACTCCTTTCCCAATTTTGAACCAATCAGTTGTTCCATATCCAGTTCTAACTGCCCATTCCATTCATCTGACAAAGAGGGCTGCAGTCCATGAAAACGTAGGGCAAATAAAACTTGTTGGTCCTGGAGGTGGGGCAAGACTCTTTGTTGTTCTCACTAAACAGGGCTGCATGAATTGGCTGTGACAGTAACCTGATTCCTTTACTGCCTGTCTCAGTCTGGGTTCCTTGTTCCTTATGAGCTATATATGTTTCTTGTTAGTGTCACTGAAAACTTTACAAAAAAATCAACAACATTTCATTGACTTGTAAATACACCCTTTATTTTGTTTAGCTAGCATGATAAACAAGGAGACAGGCATTAAAATCTGCATATAATTAAGACAATAAACTTTTTTCAGCTCAATCATAGTGTGTCTTGTTTTAAAAAATATTCTGGAAATTGCTTTGTAGTTAGAATAATAGTTTGGTTGTTTTTCTCAGCATGAACAGGATTAATGAGAATTTGCTGGGGCGGTATTACTGTTTTTAAACAGATGAAGCTTCTGGGCGAGTGCAGTGGGAGTATAGATTCAGTAAGGCGGCTTGAGCGCAAATTGAAAGAAGAAGAGGAAAAACTGTCTGGATTTATTAACCTGAACAGTACAGAGACACAGACAGCTGGTAAGTGATATCCAAACTTTCACTGAAAGTATACCAAAAGAAAGTGCTAATTATATACACCAGTAAACCAAAGAGTGTTACCAACTTGTGTGGATGACATCTTTTGTCTTGGGTTTTTTATCATCCATTTTTGAAATAAGGATGATTAAGAAACACAGTCAGATGTTCTGGACTTCTGCTGGCTTTTGCTACTGTTGATCATAAGGCATGTACCATCACTGGCATATTACCATGAGAGCATCTTCCAAGGTCATTGGTCACTTCTAAATCCATTCTGAATCCTTTGCACAGTATTCAGAGACCTTAACTCCATTCATGCCGGGAGAAGAGGGTCCAGAGGCTCACGATGATAATTTTTTTTAAGTTTTCATTTTGGGACATTCTTGGGCCAATACCTTGCTTTTATGTATTTTAGCAGTTGTCTAGTATGCCTTTGAGACTAAATAGAGCCACGCTTCCAAAATTGTGTGCCGTAGCGCCCCTCACCCCTCATGGAACCCCATAGACTGGGGCACCACCAAACTGGTCAGGAGCAACTCAGAAGCTTTTTTTTTTTTTTTTTTTTTTTGCCTTTGAGACTAAATAGAGCCACGCTTCCAAAATTGTGTGCCGTAGCGCCCCTCACCCCTCATGGAACCCCATAGACTGGGGCACCGCCAAACTGGTCAGGAGCAACTCGGAAGCTTTTCTTTGTTTTTTTGCCAAGCCTGCACTGGCACTCCTGCTCTTCCAGCTGACTCCAGCTTCTTTTTTTTCCTGCTCCCCTCACCACTTTTCTTGTGCTGCCACTGCTCAGGGGTGGGCGAGTGGGAAAAGTTTGGGAACCACTGATATAGAGAATCCTTGCCCAACCTGACACTCTCTGGATATGCTGAAGTGTATGTCTGAAAATTCCGCCATGCCCATGCTGGGTCATGATGATGGACCTTACAACCCAGCCCATCTGAAAAGTGCCAGGTTGGAAAAGGCTGATACAGAGATTTGAATATATTCCAATCATTCTGCAACATATTAGCTAAGAAAAGACGTTAGTAGTAGTGTAGCCTTTATAATTAAAATTGTAAACCGCCCGGAGAGTGCTTGTAGCGCTATGGGGCGGTATATAAGAGATTTGAATATAATCATTCTGCAACATATTGGCTAAGAAAAGACGTTAGTAGTAGTCTGGTTTCACTAAGAGCTATAATGAGAATTGCCTCCTAATATTGTCTCTGCTTGATTTCACTAAGAGCTATAATGTCTCAGAAATGTAGATCAGCCTGAGAATTGCCTCCTAATATTGTCTCTGCTCTTCTTTTAATCAAACATACACTTGAATCCAGTGGGGGAACATTTAATGATGAAACTGCTTTCACCAATGGAAGTGGAAGGTGAATGAACTTCCTTCCTGACTGTAGCCTCAAGTGTATTTGATAAACCTGCTCTGCAGGGCTGGGAAACCCTTCCAAACCCTTCAAAAGGCAGTCTTTGATTTGATGGACCATGGAGCTTATGATGGAATTGAATTGAGGCGGCTATGGACAACACAGCAGTTCAGATCCCATATAGGATCTGCTTGGCATAGTATTCATTCCCTGCTGAGAACGTACATTATTTTTTATAAAATAAAAACATCGGCACTTGTTCTTTGATGTCTTAAGCTGAGACTGCAAGCACAAGTGAGGCATTTGAAACCAAATTAAAAATACGGATCAAAATAATGATTATGGGCAGAGTGATCTTCAGGTTTGGATAAAGAAAGGAAAACCATTTTTACTAGGAATTGATCTAGTTGGATCAGATTCAAAGCTCTGAAGTGCTTCTAAAACTTCAGGTAGCAGCAATTACCAAACATCTAATGAGAAGAGAGCTATGTCCTTTTATGTCACTGGAGTGATGCAAATTATAAAAAGAGACTCTCTTACTAACATTGAAAACTATTTAATAGGTTTTAATATTGGAGGCCGGAACTTTTCTTTTCTTAGCTCATTGTGTCTAGTGGAAAATTCTTGGGCAGACTTGCATTTGTGAGACATTATAGCTCTTCATGAAAATGGTCTATTATTCATCTCTTTTATTAGGTAATGTATCAAAGAATGATAATGATTAGAATGTACTATGGAACGTAGTAATCAATTAAACAGCTCAGTTCTCTGTGTTAGAATTGTCTTGTTTAGACTTGTTTCAATCAATTAGAGAAAAGTTACGTTTGTGACTGTGTCAATTCAGAAACATGCTCTCCAGAGCTCTCATATTTGATTGAAAGTTGTGAAGCTTTGAGCTCAGCTTTAATTGGAAGGACTCCAAGGATGGGACACAGATTATTTCTGGGTACATGGTTGCCATTGATGGTTTAATGTACTGTTCTGTCCAGTTTCCATATCCGCAGAATGGGGAAGGATACTTACTGACAGTGTACCATGAGCAATACATCTTGCAAGGGCAGGTCGATGCTGAGGGGTCAGTCTGAGACAAGGCAGAATCTGTCTGAACCTTGGACAGGGCACTGTGGGCGAATGTTCTGAGAACATTTTCAAATGTTGTTGCCTCAGCAAAGTGAACAGGCCTTCTGAAGGCTGGCTAAGGTTTTCCTGCTGATTGCTGTGCCCCTCCCTGCGGTCATTCCCAGCTGTTTATTCTGCAGGTCCCCTATGTTAACACAGTGCAACTACTGCCTCTACTTTAATCATGAAGAAAGGGACAAAGTGGGGCCCTTGGCTCTACCCCAACCCCCAGGAGACTGGGGCAGTCTGCTCTGATCCCTGTAGGCATTTTGGAGAAATGAAGAAGTGCCTCTTCCATGGCAAGATCCTGTGCTCTTAGAGGGCTGATGAGGTGATGGCTGGTAATCCCAGTCATTAAGACTTGAACCTTTGTTTATCTGCATTGCCTCATTACAGACTCTAATTTGTGATGAAATATTGGCAGAATCAGGCATTATGTTAAGCGTCAGCTTTATAGCGTGATATCTTCTCCCCATAGGTGTGATTGATCGATGGGAGTTAATCCAGGCCCAGGCATTAAGCAAAGAATTGAGGATGAAGCAGAATCTTCAGCAGTGGCAGCAGTTCAGCTCGGATCTAAACAATGTCTGGGTTTGGCTGGGAGAAGCTGAAGAGGAGTTGGAACAACTGCGTTGTCTTGATCTCAGCACAGACATACAAGCCATTGAGCTCCGGATTAAAAAACTAAAAGTGAGTACTAAATTTCCAAATTTGCTTTTGTTTTACTTATGTAACATCTTTCACCTATTGCATGTGCAAGAGGAGCATTTCAATACCCATTCAAGAAGGCACTGCTAATTTACAGACATTTTGATCCTTCACATCTTACAGCCCAGGGGAATCAGACAATAACACTGATTTAATTGTTTCTTTAAAGGCCCATATATGCACTCGTGCTTAACAATCATGAAACCACATGCATTCATGGGCAGTTTGTGAGGTGATTCACTGGAACAAAGAACCTGCAGGCAAAGGGTGGCTAGATGCACTTGCAGAACGGTCTTTGCAAAAGAGTAATGAAGGCATAAAGCTGTTACCTTAGATCACCCAAACTCAAGAAAGGCCAAAAAGAGTCACAGTGACTGCCTTTCTTATATTCTGATATAAAATAGATGCAACACTATATTTGCTTTTGGTTCCTAGCACCAATGTTTTGGTTCTATCCTGTATGCAGATAGTGTTCGTCTCTTAGTGTGTGGGTGGTAGATTATCCGTGATGTGACCCCATCTGTTAATTTATTTTTTTACATTTATGGGCTGCTTCATGACAGAGGTGACAGGGTGGCTGAAAGTGAGGAACTGAAACAAATAAAACCCCCATGTTGCTTACTCTTGTGCTAAAACAAGTGATGAGCACAGTCAGCTCCTGCAGGTACAGGAATGTCTGTTAAAATTTAGAAGTTTCTCCTGAATTAGACTATGACACTGCTCACAATTTTTCTCAGCTCTGAAGAAATATTATATTTCTTCTCCTTCCTCAGGATCTAGGACAACGCCATTACCCAAGCCTAGAGTCTCCTGATTCTCTAAGCCTGCTTTGATACCTACTAAAACAGTGCTCCTTCTGGGCCCCCTCCTTTGTGTGTTACTTTTCATAAGCAGGTTGTGTGCTCAGTCCAGTTGTTTGAAGAAAGAGCCAGTCCCTGTTATTTTTTTTTTCCAAATTCAGCCATGCCTTTAGGCATTAAGTTCTTAAAGATTTTATTAGTTTGTTCTGACTTCTATTGCAAACACTGAATCTGGTATATTATGTAACAGGCTGTTGCTACCCAGCTGTCAGACATTTCACTTAAATATGGCAAAGTACTAATAACTTTTTTTTAAAAAGAAAAGCCCTCCTACATAGTAACTGTCCTTAAATGATGAGATGGTTAGAGGGGTGATGGAACATGTTCCCTCTTGAAATCTCTTCCAGGTTTCCTTTATAAAAGTTTTATACCATTCCAATCTTTTCATATTTTTTTAGGAACTGCAGAAAGCTGTTGATAACCGCAAAGCCATCATTTTGTCCATCAACCTGTGCAGTTCAGAATTTATGCAATCTGACAGCGAGGAGAACAAGACACTGCAGGAACGACTCTCACAAATGAACATGCGCTGGGACCATGTCTGTACTCTTCTGGAAGAATGGCGTGGCTCACTACAGAATGCTTTGATGCAGTGTCAGGTCTGGTCTTACCAAAGAAAAAAGTTCCCTCTACACTTCTGGGACAAAACGTAGCTCCAATTTGCTAAGTGACAAACTTGAATGTGTGCACATCACCATCTCCTGCCTTGAATAAACCAGACAAAAGTTTTTTTTTATTTTTATTTTTTGCTCTGAGAAGCCTTGTATAATATTTCACTCTGTTCGGTGAAATCTGCTACACTATTCCCTAAGTTGTTTCCTGCAACCTGTACCGCACATACTTCTGCTTTGTGCTGTTTACCATAACAGAAAAGTTACAGGTCTTCAGCTTAGGTAGAACTCAGGGTTCCTTAAAGGAGGTTTTAAATAACTATTGGGTCAGATGGATATGGATGACTATTTCTGAATGAGTTAATTTGTCACCCTGAGCATGTTAACATCAGAGCTTGTAAAAGTTTCATTGTGGAATATAGCCACAGAATCCTCCCTCAAAGGAGATAGTACATTAATTATAATTTTTACATTAATTATAATTTTTCTCCAGGTTCAGATGATATTGCACTTATAGGTATACATCATATCCTCCTGTTCCCCAAATCCTGGGTTATAGAATGAGGAGCAAGCTACCCATACATCATCTTCAAAATATTTTGAAAGGGGTGAAAGGAAGGTGCATGTACACAACTCATTCCTTACTGTCAAACTGTGTTTTGAAATATTGGAGAATATAGTGCCGGGTGCCGCTATAAAACTGTAAAGCACAAAACCATGTTCGGTGTTAATATCTTACTTGTCATTTCTAGGACTTCCATGAGATGAGCCACGGTTTGTTGTTGTGGCTAGAGAACATTGACAGGAGGAAAAATGAGATTGTTCCAATCAGCCCAAATCTGGATTCTGATACACTGCAGGATCATCATAGACTGCTAATGGTAGAGTACTTTTCCCTTAATCAGCACAATAGCACAATCCTTCCCATAAACCATAATGGGAAGATAAATGAGAGCAGAAAAGTTAGTAATTGGAATAGGTATTGTACACTAAGCTGTGGGAAATTCCCACACTAAGCATACTGTTGTACCACTTCCTCTGTTATGCCTCAAGTGCTAGGACCATTTTGATTTGGTACAGAAAGCTATATGTATGTTTTTTAAAAAAATATTTTATTTGTTGTTGGATCCCTTGATATAATCAGGTATTTGAAGACGAGACTATTTAGCATGTTCCCCAGTTCGTATTTAAAACCAAAAAGCCAAGCATTAGTTAACACTTGGCTGTCTCCCCACCCACCCACTGTAACAACTGCTAGTGTATGGTGGCATAGCAGGAACAAGCTGAATTGTATGTGGGCTTCTTACACATTGTTTAAAGCTTGATTGCCTTACTAACAGCAAATACGACGTGAACTGCTAGAATCTCAGCTGAAAGTGGCATCTCTTCAAGACATGTCCTGCCAACTGCTAGTCAATGCTGAAGGCAAGGATTGTCTAGAAGCCAAAGAGAAGGTCCATGTCATTGGAAACAGACTCAAGATGCTCCTGAAAGAGGTCACACGTCATATTAAGGAGTTAGAGAAAATCCTAGATATCTCAAACAGTCAACTGGTAAGTCATCTGTCATCATAGTAATTTTTTTTTGTGCCCAGATTCCTTATTAATGTGACTTTTCATTACAAGAGAGCCTTTTGGTACATTTACATTTAATTTCTTTGAAGGAAGATTTTTTTTCTCTCTGCTACAATTTATATGTATCTTCCTTCCTTCCTTCCTTCCTTCCTTCCTTCCTTCCTTCCTTCCTTCCTTCCTTCGCTAACATATTTTGTATTTGCAATAAAATTGTAGCCCTTCAAGGCTGTATCAGATAAATAAAAATATAAAAAAATATATACATGTTTCCTTTTCCAAAATGTGGCTTAAATAATTTCCATTAGGTGTTCACATCCCTTCTATTCATCTTTTTTAAAAGTACAGCATACAAAGAATGTGATGATTTTTCAGCCTATCCTGTGTATCTCAGTATGTAAAAATAATATCTACAATTCAATAGTATTCTTTTTCTATTGAGTACACAAAACTTCTTGGCTTCTTAAAAACCAATAAAGAGCAACTGTTTTCATGGTCTTAACTTGGCCCTTAGTAACACTACTGTATCCAAGGCAAATACTTTTGTGGTTTTTTTTTTTCATGCATTGTATAACCTGTGGTGACTTTGTTCCAAATTGCATGTGGTCCTTTCTGCCCCTTTGTTGTGGATAACAAGTTTGGGTTTTATAACCTTTCTGACTATGTTTATTCTCAATCTTAGGATTTGTCCTCCTGGTCTTCAGCTGATGAGCTGGACACTTCAGGATCTCTCAGTCCTGTATCTGGAAGGAGTACTCCAAGCAGGCAGAGAACGGTAATGTCATACCAGACACCTTCCACCAGCTTTAGGATGGAAGCATCAGATAGCTGTAGGCAGGTGAAAGGTTACACCATCTCTTCCTTATAGGCAAGGAAAAGGACCCAACCCAGAAAAATTTCCCACCAACAAAACACTGCTCTCCTAAACTTTCCTCATCTCCTTTCCTGCATGAAATCAGAATTATAAAAAGGTATATAGAAATAAATCCAGGACTCAAAGTGTGGTTAATACGTATATCATGATATGGCATTGACTCTCTTGTACTGTGTTCCAAGGATGGAAGTTCAACAAAATCTGATCTTTCCCTGCAACTGTTCAGTGTACTTGCTCTGCTTTCAACCTGACCTGGTTGGTTCATCAAGAATCGTAATTTATAAATCTATGTATCCTGAATAGAGATGAGCACAAACTGCCACGGGCACCCACTGGAAGGGGGCAGGGTGCCGAACAACTACACACCTGTTGCAGTAAACGAACCAGCATGAACCAACAAGCTAGCAGTTCATTCCTATCTCTGATCTTAAAAACTGAACCCAGCATATCAACCTAACCTGCATTATAGTGGGACTTGACAAAGCAACCTCTTTAACGAATTTGACACCTGTAATTTGCTGGATAGGAAGCCTAGCAGTCGCAGCTTAATAGTAGCCAGTCAGTCTGCCTGAGGGGATTCCCCAGCCGTCTCAAGAGGACTGCAAGCACCATATAAATGGCCTGAACTTCATGCAGAGCCACATCTCAGCTTGCTGCCTGAAACTGTACTCTCATAAATGGCCACACGTAACATGGTGCCCCAATTGAATCTGACTCATGTAACATAGCAAAGCATACGAGGACCGGAAGCAATACGCTAATGGTTATGTAGTGAGTATAGCAGTGGGAGTGGTTGTTTCCTGTGCTGTTTGGATTGTCAGCCAGCTGCAGGTAGCTAGTGGGAGTGGGGTGGCTCCTTGGGTGAGCGTCTCTCACCTTCGCTTGTTGCTGAGAAGTGCTGAGTAAAGGCATGCTGATTTACAACATGGAGTCATGAACCCACTATTTAACACCAACCTTGTGGGGATTGGTCTGAAATAGCTCAAGGTGCTGCTAATGTACCCATATCAGCAGTGCAAGGAAAGGGGGAGGGAAATCTCATGAATGTAAGAAAGTGATTTTATAATTTGTTTAAAATTCAGCATATCCCAAGGAAAAAAAGCATGTATTCTTTGGCTTTTTGATAAAGAGGTTCAGAAAACTGAACACTGCTGTTTCAACTATTGCCCTTTTCTTTTGTGGAATTGTTCCCCATGAAATCAGCTGGTTTCCCAAGTGGAGGAAACTATCTGTGTTTACTGCCAAGGCAACACCTTTTTGATGACTATATAACTCCCTAACTTACTGAAACAGGTGATGTTTTGTTACTGAGAATAGGGCAATGTCACTCCATCCATGGATGTGTCACTATTTGATCAGAACTGAGACATTTGTTTTTCTTACTGTCCTGGGACTTTCTGCCACTCCCGTCCCCACCCCTGGAATGTAGTACAAGCCAGTCTGCAGCCCTGCTAGCTATGCTATTCCTTACCTTGAGTCCTGTGTAGGGTACTTGATTTTCATTCCTTTTGTTTGCTTAATTTAATTTAATTATTATCCAGCTTTTCTTAGCTTTTAGAAAACTATTGATTTTCATTTGCTCTCTGTCTTTATGAACTATATGGCCTCTTTAAATTGATTTCAGTACATTCATTAGTTTCTTTTAGGTCCTAGTTTGAGAATGTAAAGGAACACTGGCTTTTCAAGGGGTAAAATACAATTTAATAATGGCAGTTTTATTTCTTGGTTCATTACTTTCACTTTTAGCATTAAGCATTTCTAAAACATTATTAATATATGTCTTAATTAGCTGACAAATGTGGAAAGAAAACAGTGTTACATATATCTGTAGCAAAGAAACATTCATTAAACTATGGCTAGAAATATAATAGGCTCTATTTTAGTGTTTTGCATCATTATTTGTCATCTCTAACACAACATTGTTGATGTACATTGTTTGATGATGTACATTCTTCTTTTGATCATCTTCATTCATGGTTTCTCAAACAAGAACTTTGTAATTAGCTCAAAATCAATAACTGTTCTTTTTTTAATTGATAGTTCTGTCAGTACATTTTTGGAGTGAAACTATTCTAATTTCTGTTTCAAATTACAAACATAATCTGCAGTAAGCAAAACTGAAGTACAGTAACAAATATATATGTCTTTATTGTTCCTGTTGCCATTGTAAACTAAAAAAGCTGTGACAATGCCAGCATGCATTGTCAAGTAATCAAGAGTAAGAAAAAGATGCCTATGTGAAGGTCAACTGAGATAATTTCCACATGGCATTTTCACTGGTTAACAATGTTAATAATCGAAAGGGTTACCATAGAGATTGCCTGCATTGTATCTGTTATTTTCACATCATTACCAGCAGCCACCTAGATTTTCTGGCTAAATCCAGATGTTAGTCCAAACTAGAGTAGATCCATTAAATCAATAGTGTTTATACAAGTGTTGGTTTAACAAGCCCCATTCACTAAGTGAGTCAATCCAGTTAGGATTATCACTTAGTTTTAACCTTTTAATAACAGTATGAAGATGCCATACCTGAAATATATTCTTAATGATTAGTACACAGTTGCTAATGAATAGGGTTACTAACTCTTAAAAACACTACTGCAGAACAAGAATTAAAAAAAAACCACCCACCAGAACATAATTTTTAAAGCATCAGTGAGCAAAATTGTATCTTATATGTAATGGATTCACAATAGCAGATAAAGCCATAAGTTCTGTAAGATTTTTCAAAATGCATTACACTTTTAGTCTGTTGCTTTATTGACCATGGTGTCACTTTTCAGTTCATGCTTTATGTTTGATTTCATATTTAGCTAATAGCAGAACAGAAAAGCCAGTTTCCTTGATTCATGGGAATTAGCTACCTCATTTGATTTTGCGTTTTCTTTGCTGCACATTTTAATTTGTTTTCATCAGTAGCTTGTCTTTATTTGCCTGGACTGAACATTCTTCTTTCTTTACCCCTGTTCATTGCAAACAGCCACGAGGCAAATGTAGTATCTCACAGCCTGGACCCTCTGTCAGCAGTCCACATTGCAGGTACCTTATTCTCCTGGTTTCTGCACTCTGTTCTAGAACTCCAAGAGGATGATGGAAAGTGCCACAATGTGTGCTTGCCCACATTTGAGCTGCCAAAAGAACATGGGTTAAGCAATTTAAACATCGGCTTTCTTTTGCAAACATCTAATTATACTGAGATGGAATATTGTTAGGACTGGAAATCTTATATTTTATATTTGCTTCCAATTAACGTTTGCTATATTTAAATCATGCACATGCCTTTGATTGCATGGATTCCTAGTGCTGCTATTAAGACCTTCCTGGCAGTTCCAAGCTTATGTCCAAGGCAAAAACTTTTATCATCCTCTTTGTTTCTAGATGTTAAATTATGGCAGGTATTACTCCAATACAGTATAGCAGAATTCACAAAACCCACAAATCTGGATAAAAAACAACAACAATCCTTCTTCTTTATTACACTTTAACTCTGCAAATGTTTGTTCAGTTTGTGGGTTTTTAAATTTCATGATTCCAATCACAGCCCAAGACCTGGAACATGCTACAAATGAAGATGTGACAGCAACACACCTTTGAGACAGCTTCCTTGCTGATCCAGTATACTAACCATGGCCTTAGCCTTAGCCAGGTGCTTGCAAACCAGGGTTTTCCAAGAGCATCATGCCTCAATCTCTATGTAACATCTAGAGAGCAGGATTAAGAGCTGTAGCTTTCAGCTTCCAACTTGTGTCTAGCAACATGTCTTCCCTGCAGCTAACAGTGCTTTTGCATTCTGTTGTTGTGATATGTCTGTGCACATGTACATGTCCTTTCATCTTTTTGCCAATCAACAATTCACTCTCTTTCTCTCTGTGTCTCTCTCCTTGAATCTCTCCTTCTTTGTCCAGCCCAAAATAGAACAAGGGGCTCCAGAACTTACACTCACATTTATTTTCTAGGTCATCTTCCAGTATCAGCATATTTTTAAATATATATATAAAGAAAGTAAGAGAGGCACTGAAAAGGTATTCACAGGCAACTGTAGGATTAATGTCTGTCACCTCTGTTGGTAAAGACTAGTGCATGTCAGTGAAATCTACTGAAACAGCCAAGGTCACACTGAAATCAGTGGAGTTAAAATGGGCACTTCTGTGCTGAATTCAAGTTAATTCCAGTGGGGCTCACACACTTAGCATTTTCTGGATAGCAGTTTATTTTTATTAGGACTTTTTGAGTTCTAAGAGCATGGGAAACTTGACAGATTTATAAAGTGTATCCAATAAAAAAAAAACAACCATTCAAATAAGCATAGAACAAATCAATCATACAACAAATCAAATGCACTCAGCACTTGATGGCCATATGAGACTCCACACACATACAGCAAAATGTCATTATGAAATAAATGGAAGGAGGGAAATGCTGGTCAACTAACCACTTATTGTCATGTCTGATTTATTATGCCCTAAAATTTTATGCCCATACATAGCTTGTGCCTTTGAAATTATACCATTCTGCTGACAAGAAACAAGTAATTGGAATAGAAAATATATGCATTGCTCTCGCCTCCAAGTGTCTCTCAAATTGGCAATGTTGAAATCATTTTTTAAAAAACTAGAAGAGTATTGGAAGAAGGTAGTCCAGAAAACTCCTTGGTGGTAATTGCATTTTGAAGCACAAAATGTATAATCTAATGTATGTTTAATCCCAATTTTAGTTAATCTAAAAGTAAATCTTCTAGTTCGTGTTATGGACAAAAGAAGTATTCAGAATTTTTATTAAAATATGTACAAAGGTGCACTGATACTTTTTTAGGCTATCCTATTTTTTTTTCTTGAACCTCACCAATTCTTTCCCATAAATCCCTTGTCTTTGTTCTCATTACTCTCAGACATAAAAATGAGCACAAAATCTGGAAATAACTTTCAGAAAGAGAATTCTGCCATGATAAGGAAAACAGTATGCTAACGGAGCACATTTCTGTGTTTCTCATCATTCCCTATAAATCTGGGTTTATTCTTTAAACATAAACTATCTAAAAAGGGTCTCTCAGTTCCCACTACTTTCGCAAGACAGCAAACCAAGGAACATATCTAACGACTTTGAGGCTAGACATTAGTTCTTCACACAAAAGGAAAGAGTACTCAGCAACCAATCACAACAAATCAACATGCTCCTGTCCGTCAAATGAATAAGATTTTGGAGGATGGACAAAAATGGAGCTCTTGGGAGGTGAGGAGCAGAGCACTGGAGGGCCTGCTGCATCCCCTGGCTCTCAATTTTCCTCCTCCGCCACCAATATATACACCTCAGCTTTGCAAACGTCAGCCAGTGGCCTTGCATGCGCCTTAGCAGCACTTTGCAGCTTTAGGTCCTGCTCACATTCTGGATGTGGTTTCCCCGCGGCACCTCTCAGATCTGCTTTCTCCAGCACTGTTTATTAACACGTCTCTTAGCAGTACAACACAATCATCAATTTGTCATTCAGACAAGCATGGAATACAAATGAGTTTCTACTGAATAGGAAAGTTAATCAACCATGCAAGCCAAGCAGGTTGTAGCTGATGTGTAATGCAGTTTTAACTGATAAAGGGGCACAAGCTGTCACTGTGTTCTTTAATATCCTGACATGCCTGTGATCTGAGCACCTTGTGTTTGATCTTGCACTGGATCAGCAATCCTTGGTAGACTGGACATGTGCTATAAAACCAGTATATTTAACCAATATAATTTTGTTGCCGAATCTTAAATGACAGTGGTTTTATATGAATTTAATGTTATTAAAGTAGCATCCTATCCATTCATAAGAAGCTGCATCTTTGCTGTCTTAGATCAGGGTCAAAGTTCTGTTGAGTCAGATGGCAACCTCTTATTCTGACTTTCCAACCCAGCTTTCTTCCATTGGTCTGCTGTTGGTGGCCCAAACAAGTCACATTGGTAGGTAAAAATGAATATATGTACAGTGGTGCCTCACATAGCGATGATAATCGGTGCAGCAAAACTCACTGCAAAGCGATTTCGTCGCTATGCAGTTTTAAAAAGCCCATAGGAATGCATTGAAACCCCTTCTATGCATTCCTATGAGCTTCAGACTCACCTTCAAGCGAAAATCCTCCATACGGCGGCCATTTTGGCTGCCTGGTAAGCGAGGAATCCGTCCCAGAAAACAGCGGGCGCCCATTTTTTTTACCCGGCGGCCATTTTGGAACCGCAACCAGCTGTTAAAAAATCATCGCTTTGCGATGATCGGTAAGCGAAACAGGGTACCGATCATCGCAAAGCGATTTTTCCCCATTTAAAACATTGCAATGCGATCACTTTTGCGATCGCAAAATCTTCATTGCTGTGCGATTTCGTCGTTAAACGGGACGCCCGTTAAGCGAGGCACCACTGTAATTAGGTTGCTAGCATGCCAAGCTAAACAGCAAGCAATGCTTATGTATGCAAAATCAAAACAAGTACAAATGTTTGTTTGCATAAACTGGTGGATTCTTCCCCATATCACAAGCAATTAGCATAGAAAAAAAGCCCATAGTGATGAAATAGCACAATATCCAAAGCTATATATGGGATATATATAGCCAGAAGTAGCAGATGGAGCTGTGTGCATACAAAAAAGTCCTTCCCTTTTGGTCATAGCCAATTGTTCAAAAATCCTTCTATCTCTGGACTGCAGCCATGGACTAGAGTCTATATAGATAATTTTATATGATAAAAATGTTAGAGATTAAAGTGATTGTGTCCTTTGCTCAGATGTGTTTACACTCTAGGCTGTCTGAAAGAGGTCTATTTAGGTCTTGGCGCCAGGGATCCAGTCTACAGTCTCAGGACACATTAATCAAATGCTATACAGTTTTATCTCCATTTTAATTTCTAATGATAACCCAAGCCTGAAGGACCATCTTGGCTTTCACAGCATAGAATGACATTGTGGGCATATGGTCAGAGCAAATGTTTGTGAACCAGAATCATTTTCTGTGTCTAGTTGCTAATTCAAGGCTGTTTCTATGACTCTTTAACTCTTTTGCTCAGAACATGTTCAAACTGTATATTAGTATCATTCAAGTGACTTTAAGGATAGGGAAAAATTAACATAGGCATTATAGAGGAATATTTGACATAATCAGAAAAAGAACATACGATGTAATTGTCAATATCAAACAGCCTTTGTACATAAATTTGTGGTATAACTAAAGCTAGAGTACTGTATGCTGTACTGCACTTGAAACATGAGCTGTAAAAATATTCTAGAAAAAGAAAAATGAAATTAGCACAGGGCAAAAGAAACTCCCTTGTGAAGTAAGGTTTAAAATATGGTGCTGGTTTGCTAATAAGAAAGTAAAATAAAGGCAGACATGGGAGAAAAGTACAATGTGGCATAAAATGGATATGAGAAGCATTTCATCCATTCTTATAATCCTAGACTCTGAGATCATCCCCTGAAGCTGAATGGTGGGAGATTCAGGACTAGCAAAATGCCTCACATAGTTAAACTTTGAAATTCTCTGGCAAAAGATGCAGAAATGGAATGCCAACTTGGATGACTTTAAAAGAAACCTGTACAAATACATAAAGGATGAGGCTGTTGTTGACTATTAGAGGCAATATCAAAAGCAGTATATCTTTCTTTGCAGGGTACTGGGTACAGGAAGAAAAGAACATAGTTAAACCCATATCTTTCTTGTGGGCTTCCAGCTATTTGGCAATCCTGACACTGGGCTGAATTAGTCTTTGGTCTCATTTTCTGTTCCATTGATTAAAAGAGAAACATGAGCCAAAGCAAGGTTTCCTTTTCTTGTCATACTGTTCAATACATTTACATCTCTGTTGAATGTCTGCAACATTTACCAAGAAGAAGAAATTACGTGAGAGTTTAGGATTCTCTCACTTAATCCTATTATGTAGAATTGGACCCAGAGTCTCTGTTCTGCTGGTGGGACCATTCCTTGACAGATAATTACTCAAAAATGGGGGCAGGGGGTGTTTGCTGACTTACCCCTTATCTTTGCAAATATCAGCACCACTACCCAGGTTTCAGGGGAAAATAGCGAACAGGAAGGGAAGCAAGAAATCAGTGAAGACTGCTTCTTGTCTACTCCTTGCAAATACAGCTTGCAGAAAAACTCTGGTGCATCAGAAAGTTCCCACAGATGAATCCATCCCATAGTCATTCAAAATATTAACTAAACCTGTTGCACAACAGGTCCTAACAAGCTTATGTGCATTGTTTGTCTCAGCATCCACATGATGTGTTTGCTTAATTGCCTTATTTGTTCTAATAAAAGCCGCCCCTTCAGTCTCAGGAACTAAAGAATTTACAGATTACAGTATTTACAGTTTACCCATCCGTATGATAAGGCTTCTGGTTTCATACAGAAGTGTACTACCTATAAAGTAAAAGCAGAGCTTTTGAAATTGGACCCACAGAAACAGACAATATGTGAGCATAATTTAGATGCCTGTCTTGTAGCATGAAACCCCTAGCATGTGCTATTGCACTCCATTCCACTGTCTTACTAATTATAGTATTTCAGCTATATAATTCCTCCCTCTGTAGGTAAGGATGTCAACTGTACTCCACTGTAATAGACATAAATGAAATAGCACCCACTGTCACAAAGTTGTTTTTTCTTGCATTAATACTTTTAAAGGATTTTTGTGTTGTTTTTGGCCTTTTCAAGCTAGATGTTTTCTATTAAAGTAACTACTTGTCTTGCAAGCAGCTCCAGACAGAGAGCTCCTTGTCTATAGCACAGTATAATCTGTCATCTGTTATAAACTGTCTTTGGGAAGGTGCATGATTCTGCTATATAACCTAGAACTGATATTATTATCAAATATTAATCAGCTAACATTGTCATCCAACAGTTTGCACATGTATATCATTTAAAAGCAGCATTAATAACAATGGGCTGGATCCAGGTGAACTGATATGTCCTTAAGACCTCAGTGAACTGAATGTGAAAGTAACTTAAGTCCCAGTAATTAAACAAACATGACTGTGATCACATGGAGCCACCCTGATGATGATGATGAAAGACAAATAATAACTTTAAAACTTAGGCTCTGTAGGGAGTATGTATATGAAGAATAAAGATACAGATAGAAAAGCGAAGCACCTGAAACATAGTACAAAGGAAAACAAAGACGGAGTCCTTTTTTTGTTGAGGAGAAGACAAATGAAAGATCGAAGAAGACTACAAATCAGGATGTGATATTGTAGTCATAACATTTGAAGAATAAAGACGAAAATATAAAAACCATCATCCTACTTTAAAAAAAGGGAAAGATACATGATTAATAATAGATAAATTAGTAATATGAAAAGAGATCTAGATCTACTACTGAACACAAAAAAATTAAAGAAATCAAGATAGCAGGTGTGGTAGGTCCAGAAGCTGAGCAGAATAGTAAGTGGAAACCATTGTAAACCACTTGGTAGTGGGAAAGTAGAGTAAATAAATAAGCAAACAAATAAATAATTTGTGATAATACAGTTAAGTGAATTAGAAATAAATGTAAAGAAACAAAATAATAATTCATCCCAAACAAAAGAGTGGAGAACTATGTATTACACACACACATGCGGATTTTAAACCATAAAATAAAACATCAATGGTTAAGAAACATGTAGGTGCAGTTCTTGTGTATACCTACTTGTATTTGTGCGGATATGTTCCTTCAGCTCGGACCCTAAAATGAGGGTGGGAACTTTATAAATCCTATTCTAAATGGGAAGTATACTTTTCAAGTTCCAAACTTTTCCAGCTCAAATTTAAACCACATTTGCAAATTCAACGTAATACCCAGTTGTGTTGAATGGAATCAACTTAAATCTTCTGCTCTTTCTTGTTGGAAGTCACTAGGACAAACCTGGGATTTTATAATGCTTTCTTCACAACAGAACTGTGAATAGGTTAGGCTGAGATACAATGATTGGCCCAATGCAGCACAATTAAGTTTCCTGAGAAATAATTTGAATTCAGGACTCCCAGTCTGCATTTTTAGCAAACAGAAAGACATCAATAGTATCTCAAGTTATGCCAGCCGTGCCAGGACTGCGGAAAGGAAGGAAGTCTTCACCAGTATGAAGTTGCACACAGGCCAGCATTTATGGCCTCCAAACATACTACCTATCCTGTTCTTTTTTCAAGGATGTGACTTGCATATAGATCTTATGTTTCACTGTCACCTCCAATACATGGAGATTGGGCAGAGTGAAGAGGAGCCTCCAGGCCCTGTCCTGGACACTCACCTGTGCAGGCACAAAATGACTGTGCAATGTGAGAGAATAGCCACAGAAGTGGAAGGAACAGTTAGGCAATGTTGTCTGTTCCTTTTGTCTGTATCTCAGCCCATTACCTCCCAAAGCTGGCAGGGTCAGATTTTGGAAGGCTGGGTCCAATTGAACTTTAATATAGAATGCTCTGATCCTGTTAAATGGGCCATATCTTTTTCAGTGCATTCACAGTATGAGGCCATACATAAATACAAAACTAAGCAGCTTTCCATTCTAGCTTCAGTGATATTCTTGTAAATAATCTGTAACCTTTTGTTTTTGATCTTGAACCTCTTGCCAGCCCGGTTATCTCACACAGTTAATCATTTATCAACTTTGAATGATCAGGTCTCCAGTAGTCAACTAAAAGTAGCAGACAGAATTTCCTCATTTTCTTGAGCTTTTTTCCCCCTTTCTTTAAAGGGGGTGGGTAGATGTATGCTCATAAATTGTATGGTAACAATGAAATGATGCCCCTCCCTTCTTTTGAGGTTAAAAATTGGAAATGAAGTCACTATGAATCATAGGACATAGAGGGTGGATATTATTTCCTGATTTTTAAACGTTAAATCCTTGTCAGGACAAGAAAAAGTACTTTTGTTAGATTCTGCCAAATCCCTATGTCAGGACTGTAAATTACATTACAAGAGGCAAAATACATCTGAAGTTACACAATGACTTTTAATTGCTGATTCAGTGCAAAATGAGGCTACACTGATTGTACTAGCTGGGTATTAAAAAAACACCTCTTAATAAATATTCTTGATGCTTATATCTTTAATCCCTTAAAATGACTTCTGTTATTTGCTTTGGGTTGTATCCTTAGATATTGATGTCATAAGATATATTTTAAAAATCATGTAAAACATAATTAAGATACTTGTTAGCATTTGATTTGTGAGAAGTAATGGCCAGAATCCTATTACTATTTGTGTAAAGTTTGTACAACTTGCTGTGTCTAATTAATGAAGTGCTGGGACAAATTTCAGTCATGTGTCTGGTTACGTGTTGAATTTGGTAACCAAAATACGTCCCACTATTTGGTCAATTAGCCACAACTAGCTGCAGTAAGTTACAGGAATCTCATGTGAATACCAATATGATTCTGGCCAATAAATATGCATAATATATATGTCCACAGAGACGTCTAGTAATAAGGAAATACACACTGTCACTGTTGGTGATCCTTGAATCATGGGTATGTTTAAATTGGTGCTCCAGGAAGCATATGGGCCCAAGTGTTCCTATCTGGTAATGCATCCATTTACTTTCATATTGGATTCTCCCTTCAGGTCCACAAGAGGTGGCTCCGATTCCTCCCATTCTGAGGGTCAGTCAGCACTGCAGCGGCGGCAACAGTCCTTCTTCCTCAGGGTCCTCCGAGCTGCTCTCCCACTTCAGCTTCTCTTGCTGTTCTTGATTGGTCTCGCTTGCCTGGTGCCGATGACAGAGGAAGACTACAGCTGCACCCTCTCCAATAACTTTGCCCGCTCCTTTCACCCCATGTTAAGATATACTAATGGCCCACCACCTTTATGAGTCAGCTGAGAAAAATGTCAGGGAAGTAGGGCTTCAAAGGCAAGTACCTCCAGTGCTTACGTGTGGCCTCTGTGCCCAGGTAGGTGAGCATACTTGGGCACTGTTAAAAATTTGCCAGTACCAAAATGAATCACACATGGTGTGAGTAACATCTTTGGAAACTCACATCTCTGGCACTGGAAAGACTATCAAATAAAAAATGGCCTCCACCAATGTTCTGGATTTTGCTGGCCGCTTTTATAATGTGGACCAGTGCCCATCACTATGCAGAACCAAGGACTTCAGTCTGAAGAAGGACCGTTCCGGTGTGCTGATCATGTCAACCTATTATTCAGACTTTTCTTATCTACACTATTGGTATTTTACAAAACACAGATATTTAAAAATCAAACTGTACTAAGGAAATTTTAGAGATGATTGTAACATAAACATTTTAAAGAGCTTGTAATGCATTGTATTATTTCCCCAATTTTTTCATGGGGTTTTTGGGTGGGGCATGATGTTCTAGCCTTGGCTTTGGATGCACAGGCTGTAAATCTGAATGGCACTTTTTATAGTTTAAAAATGGATGTAATAAATGAAATCCTGGAAGGCTTTATGAACAGGCCATGAATGTTAAATATTAAAAGAAAAAACATATTTATGTATGTACAGTTTGCTAAAACTAGTTTTGTTGTATTGATTTCTTGTTAGAGAAAACCATGAAATCCTTTGTTTATGTGCTTATAAGAAATTATTTTGGAGCAATATATATATATTGCATACTGTATATGCAAAATACAAAGCCAAATCGCTTTTTCTTTAGTTCTCTTTCTCTCAAATACCTGAGCATGCACACATGTGTGTACGTCCACACATTCACAGATATTACAATTCGATCAAAACTAAAAATAGAGGCCAAGGTAATGAATGTATAGAATTATGTGTTATGAACAAGAGCTTTGGGATTTTGAAGAAAGGCTTAGACCTTCACAGGCACTCTGTATGAGGAAAGAGAAGGCCATAATACACAAAAGAGAGCCTTCATTTTATTCAGATCCAAGAGTGTATATGACACACTCCCAAATGGATTCATAGAACCATCAGGAATGTTAAACATCTGTCTTTGGATCAGTTGATGAAAATCTAAGCCCTGACCACATATACGTATGCACACACCATATTATCTATGGTAAGGTTTGTGAGAAATGTTGGAACCCAAGACAATCTATGATTACAGACTGAGATACATGTCCACTTCTTTCTATCTCTGAACTAAGGCCAAGTTGAAAAGTGATTATCTTCTACCAAATGGCTCATGTAATTAATTATTTTTCCTAAGCTGCCTTTATACACAGTGTGTTCAGTTGTTGGCAACTTGAGTTATTTACCATTGCAGCCAACGGGTAGATCAGTAGGTGGACAGACACGAACACATCCAGTTCTCTGGCAGATTACCTTGATACAGACAAGACACAAAGACTGGTTGTTATGCTTAACCATTTAAATAGTCATCATAATGGAGAAAGAAGAAGAGGAAAATGTGCAGCAGGTGTAGTAGTGGTGATGGATATTATCACTAATAATATCAGTGTCTGAGCATTTAAGCATTTCCCATTGCTTCAAAAGCCCAGCTAGAAGAAATTGCCAGTTATTATTCACAAGTTATTTTAAATGTCCTAAAGTTAATTCTCTTTTTTTAAAAAAGCTCCCTTTACTCAGAGTTAATTTACCCTTGCCGTACATTTTTGAAAATACTTTGAAGAAAGAGGAAGGAATGTGTTGGAGTGTGTGAGAAAGAAGGGGGTGAGGACAAGGCCCTCGGCTAGAGCATCATTTCCTCTGCCCTAGAGTGAATGCCCCTGTTGCACCTGCCAGAACCAGGAGAAGTATGGGAAGAGCTGGAATGGGCCCGTGACATAAACTCTTGCATGTGGTGCCTGGGGAGACGACCTATAAACTGTTCTTGGAGACTTTTTACTCTTCATTGAGAGAAGAAGGGAAAGTGGAGAAATTGTTGATATGTTACCCATTGAGTTGAAAGTAAACCTTACCAGTTTGAAACTGAACTTGGTTGTTGCTTGTCCAGAAAAGGGGATCCTAAAGGTGGGACAATGGTGAGCTCTCACAGAGAATAAATGCAAAAAAAAAGTTCAAATGAAAGAAAGCTGACTGCTTAGCAGTGTAGCTATGAAAACTGCTAAGTTTCTCTTGTACGGTTGCTGTATGGAAAAGAGGGAACCATCAATAGACATGGCAGGGTGATTTACTCTGGAAATGACAAACGCAGAAGAAGTGGTGTGGATCTAATAGTGAGGCAAAATGTGACACCAGGAATTAGCGTCTGTGATGCAAATGGAAAGCCCATCCATATACCCATTCTTCAGTTCCAGAGCAACAAAAGAGAAGGCCCTTTCCTATGTCCCCACCAAAAAAATAGGGCCCTCTCCCACATTTCTCACTAGTTCAGGGATGTGTCACTGAAGGCAAAAGAACAATATCTCTACTGTGGCATTCCAGATTATGGTGTAATGATATGAAAACTGTCAGTGAAGAAAGATGGCAAGAAGATAATTCATTTGAAATGTGTTGGAGGATTGCTGCATAGCTATCACAAACTACCAGAAAGTAATGGAAATAGCTGTATATACAGTCAGTTATGATATAAAGGCCTTGGCAGTATAAAAATTCCATGTTGTTGAGACTGAAATTATAATTTAGTTTTTATAGCCAGTCAAACAACATCCAGACTTCATATGAGTGCACTTGGAAAATTTGTCACATTCCACAAGTTGAAAGAAGGCATCCCGTAGAAGAAATGGAGTAGCCCTCATAGTCAACAAAAGAGTGGGAAAAGCTGTACGTACTGGGATACAATCTCAAAAATGATAGAATGATTTCAATACAAATCCAAGGCAGACCTTTCAACATCACAGTAATCCAAGTTTATGCACCAACCACCAATGCTGAGGAGACTGAAATTGACCAGTTCTATGAAGACTTACAAGACCTTCAGGAACTGACACCAAAGAAAGATGTTCTCCTCATTATAGGGGATTGGAATGCTAACGTAGGGAGTCAAGAAATAAAAGGAACAAGTAAGTTCGGCCTTGGAGTTCAAACCGATGCACGGCAAAGGCTAATAGAGTTTTGTCAACTGAGATTGATCTACAAAGACTTACAAGACCTTCAGGAACTGACACCAAAGAAAGATGTTCTCCTCATTATAGGGGATTGGAATGCTAACGTAGGGAGTCAAGAAATAAAAGGAACAAGTCAAGTCGGCCTTGGAGTTCAAACCGATGCACGGCAAAGGCTAATAGAGTTTTGTCAAGAGAACAAGCTGGTCATCACAAACACTCTTTTCCAATGACACAAGAGGCGACTCTACACATGAACATCAGCAGATGGGTAAAACTGAAATCAGATTGATTATGTTCTCTGCAGCCAAAGATGGAGAAGCTCTATACAGTCAGCAAAACAATACCTGGAGCTAATTGTGGCTCTGATCATCAGCTTCTTATAGCAAAATTCAAGGTTACACTGAAGAAAGTAGGAAAAACCACTGGGTTAGTCTAAACCAAATCTCCTATGAATACACAGTGGAAGTGAAGAAAAGATTTAAGGAACTAGATTTAGTGGACAGAGTGCCTGAAGAACTATGGATGGAGGCTCATAACATTGTACAGAAGGAAGCAACAAAAACCATCCCAAAGAAAAGGAAATGCAAGAAAACAAAATGGCTGTCCAACGAGGCCTTACAAATACAGTTGTGCCTCGCTTTATGATTGCCCCGCATTATAACAAAACCGCATTATGACAATCCTTTTGTGATTGCAATTGCGATCGCAAAACGATGATCTAAATGGTTTTTTTTTTCGCTTTGCGATGATCGGTTTCCTGCTTCGGGAACTGATACTTCGCAAAATGACGATTTTAAAACAGCTGATTGGCGGTTTCAAAATGGCCACCAGTTAAAAAAAATGGCTCCCCGCCTGTTTTCTGGGATGGATTCCTCGCAAGACAGGCAGTGAAAACAGCTGCCCTATGGAGGATCTTCGCTGGATGGTGAGTTTTGACCCAACTGGAATGGATTGAAGGGGTTTCAATGTTTTTTTTGTTTGTGTGTGTGTGTTTTTGTGTGTGTGTGTGGTTTTTTTGTTTGTTTTTTTTGTTTGTTTTTTTGCTTTACAATGTTTTCACTTAACAGTGATTTTTCTGGAATGGATTATCACCGTTAAGCGAGGCACCACTGTAGTAGAGAAGAGAAGGGAAATCAAATTAAATAAAGAAAGGGAAAGTTACAGAAAAGTGAATGCTGACTTCCAAAGAATAGCAAGGTGAGACAAGAGTGCCTTCTTAAATGAACAGTGCAAAGATATAAAGGAAAAGAATAGAAAGGGAAAAACCAGAGATCTGTTCAAGAAAATTGGAGATATTAAAGAAACCTTTTGTGCAAAGATGGAC